ACACTCCTTCTCTCCACCTTGGGCCATGACCAAGGCCTCAGATGCTACATCAAAAGCAGCTTAAAGGGGCTGGGATTGTGGCTCAGCGGTGGAGCTCTCGCCTAGCATATGCAAGGCCCTGGGTTTAATCCTTAGCACCGCAAAAAACAAATGAATAAATAAAATAAAGATATTGTGTCCAGTGAATATATATATATATATATATATATATATATATATATATATATTTTTTTTTTTTTAATTTTTATTTTTTTTAAAGCAGCTTAACAAGTCCCCTGGGTTCTGATTCCTACTTCCATTCCAGGTCTGGCACCTGGGTTCTGCTCTGTTCTCTTGCTGTGTGCCCTGTCTTTGGAATCCGTTTCTCTACCAAATCAGTTTGGAATGCTTCTTCTCCTTTGGGTTTTCTGCTTAGCTTTGCACTTTGGTCTCACCCCTAGAAAATGCCTCAGGTTTCCCTTTAACCACTCCATGGCCCAGCCTAAACTTCCTGCTACCTCTCTTTAGGGAGGACTCAGGTTCTCTCTATTTGAGAGCAGAGCATGGATATTTTTATGCTCTTAGTTCAGATTCTTTCACTTATGTGGAGATGAGAAGCAGGAGAACCTGTTGAGTGGGTGTTGATATAGTCGAGGCCTGAGATGATAAGGGCTGGACTAGGACCTTGTCACAGGGCTGCAGAGTTAGAGGGAGTGAGCACTGCATGGAAAAGACATCATGAAGTCAGAACTGGCAGGGCTATAACTTATGCATATGACTTTTAATTATGGACCCCTCTTTCCATCTTTCCAAACTCTTGACGCACATCTTGTTTTCATTTCTCCTAATGGTCTGAGATCTTGGAGACTTTGCAATCTGAGTGATTAGGAGAGATGACCTGCTGTGGGTTTCAGAAGGCTGGTGTGGAGCCATTATTCAAACACGAATGCATCTTTTATTTTAAAAGAGAGAGATTTTTTTTTATTCAAAGTCTGCATATGTTAATTGAAGATTTGAAGGAGGAGGCTGGGGGAACATTCTGAAACCATCCAAAATAGTTAATCTGCATAGGCAGCAGGATGTGATTCTGAAAAGGGAATGCTCATTAGATAATGCTGTCCTCTAGGCTTCCAAGAACACACTCCCAGGGAGCCATCCTCTGAGTAGGTCCTTAGACAGAGGAGTGGGCCCACATTTTGCTGCTTGTTGGAATCATCTGCAGGTCCCTAGGAAACATTGAAGTCTGGCTGTAATCCCAGACATTGTGACTTTACTGAGGTATGATGGACATGCAAGAAAGCTGTGTATATTTAACTTAGACATCTTAATGACTGAAGATAGGTGTACACCTTTGCAACCATAACCATAAACAATGGCATGAATTTAACCCCCCAAATTTCCACCTCCCTCTTTTCTGGTGATAAGAACATTTAACATAAGGTCTACCCTCTTATTTTTGAGGTATTCAAATTTTCAGTAAAGAATATAGTGTCGTTAACTACAGGTAATGTGCTCTACTGTAGATCTGAAGGGCTTAGTCATCTTCTATAACTGAAACTTAACTACCTTTTGTCCAGCACCCACCCTGCTTCCCTTTCTCAGAAGTCCTAGAAACCTCCATTCTGCTTTTATGAGTATGACTACTTTCGATTTCTAATACAAGTGGAATCATGTAGTGTTTGTTGTGTCTGGTTTATGTCATTACAACTCAATGGCAAAAATCAGAACCCACTTGAATCAAAGTGTGGAATATGATATGTCAAGAAATTTGTAATGTTTTGAACAACCCAAAATAAAAAAAAAAAAAAAAAAAAAAACATGGGTAAAAAACCTGAATAGTTATTTCTCCAAAGACCGCATCAAATAACCAACAATCATGTGAGAAGTTGTTCAATATCACTAATGGGGAAATGTGAACCAAAATCATGGAGATAACCACCTCACATCTGTTGGGATGGCTGTTATCAAGAAAAGAAAACAAATCTTGGCAAGGATTTGGAAAAAAAGGGAACCTTTGTACAATATTGGCAGGAATGTAAATTAGCATATGGAAAACAGTAAGGAGGTTCTACAAAAAAAAATTGAAAATGATTCAGGTATCTCCTGATTTCAAGAGAATTGAAATCAGGATTTGGAAGAGCTGTTTGCACACCTGTGTTCATTGCTATGATATTTTCAATAGCAAAAACATGGAAAAATCTACATTTCCATTGACAGATGAATGGATGAAGAAAATGTGGCATATACGAGCAATAGAATGTTATTTAGTTTTGAAAAAAGAGGGGAATCCTAGCCTTTGCTATAACATGGATGGACTTGGACGGATATTATGTTATAATTATGAATCACTTGGAGGAGATTCTAATGTGTGGCAAAGTTTGGGAACCTATAGAGGAGGATGTAGTGAGAATAGACATTTCGCTTACAGTGATTCTCACATTTGAGCATGCATCAGAATCGCCTTGGGAGTTGTTTAAACACAGATGACTGGGTCTCACCCCAGAACATCAATAGTTCTGCAGTGGAGTCGAAGAACTGGCATTTTTAACTGGTCCCCAAGTGATGCTGATGGTTGGGGTCACACTTTGAGGATCACTGGCTTGGAAGAGATGGGTCTTGCTTTACCACATATAGCTACATAACCCTGCACCTGTCACTTGTTCTTTAAAAAGTCCAGTTTCTGCATTTATAGCATAAGGACAGCAAGTGGTGAGTGTGTCTTGGGTCACTGGATGGGTGAAATGAGATGGTATTGCAAACTGCTTAGCTCACGGCCTGTGTCGCAGGAAATGTGCAACCCACGCTGGATTTTACCAGTGTGTTTCCTCAGAACCTAAGGTCTTTCCTTAGGTTCAATCTGCTAGTTGCTCAGTGTGTTAAAGTGAGTTTTTGCTCCTGAAAGTCCTACTCTTAGGCTTTCTGAAACAGGAAATCTGGGTACTCTCATGTACTGCAAGTGTTCTGGGGTCTAGCAGAAAGGGTCCACCCCGGGGGTGTTGGCATATGTCAACCACGTGGTCCATCAGACTCCAGCCTCACGTGAGTGGTGTGGCCTTGTGGATCCCTGCTTTCCTGCCCGGGTTCCATGTCATGCTGGGGTTGTTCTGCACCACCTTCCCAACACCTGTAGGGCAGTGAGTTGGGGTTATCCTAGTCACATGGCAACCAAACTGGTACCCAGGGAGATGGGAACAAGGCCCTGAATGGCCGCCAATGGCTTTGGAAACCACAAAATGTGTTCTCTCGATGGGCCAATGGATGTCCACACCATGTTTTCTCTTTTTCTCCCCATTTGCCCAGAACTCTCTTGGGTACACATTTCCCTCCTTTCCTATGTCCTAGAGAAGGGAACTGAGGCCTAATGTTTTTCCCGGGGTGGTAGATGCCCTCTCCAGGATGGAAGGGATGCCCATGTTGGTCTGAGGCTCTGAATAGCAGAGTCAGCAGGTGGGCACAGGGTGCAGAGCAAAGGGGCACGGCTGCCACCTCTTCCTGGGCCCCTTGACTGAGTGCATTTGTGGAGTTGTATTTTCCATGTTTTCACCAGGCCAAGTTCCAGGGGATTTTTGGTAGTTTGAAAACATCTCTTTATTTTTATTTTTTTGTAGAGACGTACTCATCCAGCTAATCTTTACTGCTCCCACGTGGTTTGAGGAACTGGTGCCCGTGAATCCCAGTGGGTGTGGAGAAGGGGCACTTAGGGCTGGCCCAGAGGGTGAGAGGCAGAGGCCAGTTTTGCCTTGAGTTCTGGTTGGTCAAGGTGCTCAGGGTCCCTGGGGTGGGAGGGGGTGAGTACCTGGGTTTTTCTTGGTTCCTCTTGGATTGAAGAGCTAAAGGAGACACAGGCGGGGGGTGGGGGGGGGAATGATGCATGGAAAAGCCACAGGAGGTCATCTTTATCAGATTGTTTATAGAAAATAACCCAGTCCCCAGGGAACAGGGTTGACTTGCTCCAAGTCACAGAGATGCTGGGACAGAACAGGGCCTAAGATCCCAGGCCCTGCCTGCTTTTGTCACCTGTGCCTGTGTTCCTCCCTCAGCACACCTCAGGCATGTACCTTTGACCTGTCTGCTGGGTATCGGGCTGCTATCAGTTGATATTAATCTGGTGTCCCCATGGTGATCAATGCTAACCCTTTCCTGTAAAGAGAGGCATGGTATGATTCAGGTGAACTTCCAGTAGATAGGCTACACAGGTGCTCCCTCTCTAGGGACCATTCAGACGACAGTGCAGGTGGTGTGCTAATTATTTTAAGTAGCTGATAGTAGTTAGGCCTCATAACTCATGGAGGCAGTTATTGGTATTCCTAACGTACAGATCAGAGACATAAAACAAATTGCCTAGCGTCACACAGGAGACAGGTGGCAGGGTAAGTTTGATCCACTATTCATATTCTTCAGCCATTATGCTGTCTGCTATTGCAAACTAAGGAAGATACTGACCCAGAAAGGAAGCAGCAAAGCGCACCAAGAAAGACTATCACCTGTTCGCCCTGAACCTGTGTAAGTATTTGGTTTTCTGGAAAGATACAATTGCTTAGAAACAGGCCTCCGTGCCATCCTGGCCGAGGCTGTCACGTAATAGTGATGCCAAAAAGTGAATGTGAAAATTCAGTCAAGTGTAGGATTTTAAATATGAAAAAACCCGGACCTGTTGGAAATTGTCATTGTCAATATGCTTTGTCACTTGATATGCTTGTGAATTTTCTATTCATACAGACGCCACGTGCCTTTGCTTTCTCTCCTTCCGGTGATTGTGATGGAAAGGAGACATGAAAGTTATTTTTAATTTGGCCACTGAACGAACATCCAGGCCTTCCCTTCCAGCAGCTAAGCCTATATGTTTTCTCAACAGGGTATTAATTACCTGGCTCTGAGAATGGCCAGACAGACTATTCTGGCATCTCTGGCTGCCCTGCCGGCTGCATGCAATTGCTTGTGGACCCAGCAGGACTCAGAGACTTCCACAGGATGCATCCTCCTTCTCAATAAATTCAGACATAGGTACTGGGTAACTTGTTAAACACATTTATTGATTTTTTTTTTTTTGACAGTAACCAAACACAGTGAGTGACCATTTATAAACAAGAAAAGAAAGGCATTCGTTTGTACTTTGTGAGATCCGGCTGCACCTGGAGAGAAAGACACCCCTTTCCCGGGAATTTACAAGGCAAAGTGCATTCCTTCACGGGAGCATCACAGGGGAGGGGATGGCAGTTTTTTGAAACGCGAGAAATCGGTCGCCTGCAACGTCAGGCTGAAGCTCACCTTGTATGAAGGATGGCGCCATGGAGTGGAGTTAAAGTTATACTTGCTTAGCAAATGCATTCCTGATTGCCACAAACCCAGTAAAACTGGCTGCAGATGAACGGACATGTAGATGAAGGAGAAGGGAAACCAAAGAATGCAGCTGAGGGGAGCCAGGGCTCAGCCTGCCGGGAAGGAGAACAGACCCGAGCCAGAAAAAAAAAGTGAAATTAACTCGTTCAACACATTTATTGAGCTGTTAACAATAACCAAACACAATGTATGACCTTTGGAAAACAAGAAACAGCAAATGGATCAGTTCTGATCTTGGCAAATCCTACTACAGATATGTGACAAAGAGGGGAAATAATTCCATTTCTTTATAGTCTGCAGTGATATATATATATATATATACAGTGTGTAGCTCTTCAGTGTCTGTCCTTTTTTAAATTTCTTTTTTTTTAAATCGTTGAGTAAACAGAAGAATCGTTATCTAGAAATAAAGTGTCCTTGCTCAGCTTTGTCCTGGTTCACTGTCACCAGCATCCTCAGAGGATCCTAGGACACTGTTGGAGAGGACTGGAAGCAATGTTTGGTTGATGTGTTCAGAACTGTTTTCTCCTCTCTGTCTCTTCTGGAAGAATCTTGTATGTACAAAGGCTGAAAAGTCTCGTCGGGTAGATGTATCAATTCAGGAAAATGGTATCAAAATTGTAATCGGGTTAACTGGTTATTATCTTCTAAACCTCTTAGGAAGGAGGCTTTTGTTTCTGAAAATGTCTCCTCATTACTCATTATATGTGTGTGTGTGTGTGTGAGCACTTGTGTGTGTGTGTGCGTGTAGGGGTGTGTGTAAGAGATGCTTTCCTCTGCCATGTTTTTTGCAGACCATATTCATGAAGAAGGGGCCAATCCAAAGAGTGAATGAGGCTTGGGGGAAGGAAGAAAGAAGGGGGACATTCTGGGTTACGCCAATTCACAGTCGTAGCGTTTCACTGAGGTGGGATTCTTCTTGGCTTAGTTCCCTACTTGAGAAGCCATTCGTTTACTGAAAAGAGAGAGAGAGAAAGAAACAAACCACACACATACACACACACATACACAACACAAAACAAGGCGTAACTGAATTAATTTGCACATTAACGGGGCCTGACTCCAAAGGGGAAGGGGCTATTTTGTAAATGCCAGCTTACGTATTAGTATCCCAGCTACTCCCTTCCCCACGACCCTCTAGACACGTGCTGTTCAATCTGGTGGCCGCTAGCTGTGGCCACTGAAATCCAAATGAGTTAAAATGCAAAGTTTAGTTACTAGCCACATATCAACTGTTCGACAGCCTTGTATGGAATAGATCATTTCCATCATTGCAGAAAGTTCTAGAGAACGGCACTGGTCTTGACCAGGGATGGGCAAACTTCAGACCAGGACCTGTTTTTGTGAATCAGGTTTTATTGAAATATTGTATTGTTTATTGTAAGTGAAGCTTCATTTATGGTAATCCACACCCCTGCATCTGGTTCTTGTCTGTGGTTGATGTCACACTACATTAGAGTGAGGCAGAGACTGTGTGACCCACAAAGCTTAAAATATCTGCTCACTGCCCCTTTACGGAAAAAGTGTGCTAATTTCTGGTGTAGACGATAGCTCTGTAGGGTTAGGGTCACACCTGTCTTCACCACTGCTGTGTTGCCATCGTCTACCTAAGTGTCTGGCACATAGTAGGCACACCATGAATAGATGCTGAATAGAGGGGAGGGGCAGTGAATGAGTTGGGCATTTATTTGTCTAGCAGTTCTGGCTTGAAGGGAGCAGACAAATCTATGGTTTAGGCAGTGTGTCAGTGTGTCTGAAAGAAGAGAGAAGGAAGGGCACGTGGGGAGACCTGCCTGGTGAGAACCACAGGCCTGTATTTGGAGAGTGTGCTATTGCTACAAAAGGCCTCCCCACCCAGGCTCTTGTTTGTCCCTCACAGCAGGCAAGGAAGTAAATGGGGATAGGGACTGTCAGAAAGAATCCTGGTCTAGAGGGGTAAATGAGCTGGTTGGGTATTTGTAGCTTGTTAGAACAAGGCCTGGCCCTCAGGTCCAGGGCCTATCTAAGACATTATTGCACCTCCACCTCCCTTTCCACACTGAGAGTCTGCAAAATGACCACCAGATATTCAGTCCATGTGCAGAAGGAAGGAGAGAGGGCTGAGGGTGGGCCCGGGTTTCAGGAGGCAGAAGTCATCTTAAACGTACCCTGCAGTAGGAATCATAACCATTCTAGGGTCAGAGTATTGGACAAAGATATGTTCACACATGTTACCTCATTGGACCGGATGGCCTGGCATCCAGAGCATTGCTCAACTTTGAGGGACACATAACCAAAGGCCCTACTGCTTCTTATTATCCTGTTCTAACATATAACCTTGGGGAAATCAGCCTTTCTGGGTTCTTGTTTAAAATGGCAATAAAAAGGACTGTCTAGCCTGAACCAGAGGGGTATAAAGGTTTGATACATGTGACATCAAACTTAAATACACCTGTAGATATGCATCTTATATATCAAACATTTATCACCATTTAGTCACAATACATAGGCTTTCCAAAAAGAAAATCATCATGCAAATGTTGGGGGGAGGGTGCCCTTGTCATCCATAGTCATGATTTCTGTACTGGGAGACAGTGTCAGGCTTTTAAGAACAGGTCTAAGAGGGACATGGGGCTCTGGCCTGGGTCCTCCTCTGCTGTCTGAGCCACCGTACCCACCTCTATACTGAAGCTTCTGGGCTCGGTTGTTCGGACAGTCCTTCCCCTGTAAACTGAAGTTGATATTGGTGCGGATGCAGCGGTTGTTGAGTGGCTGCACAGGCCTGAAGTTGTCACTCATGCTCAGAAAGATCTGAGATGGCTGATTCTGGCTGAGTAGGCGTAAGGAATGCATCTGAGGAGAGAGAAATTGCTGTGTGAGATCCAGTCACGCTCTTTGATGCACAAAGCAAGAAGTGAGACCAGGCAGACTGGGCCAGGTGGCACCAGGTGTCTGGGAAAGGGCACCAGCCACTTCTCCCTGGGTCCAGTTGAGTTGAGGAGCTGCTAAGGCCTCCAGGCATGGACCAAGCCTTGCTCCTGGCTCACTAGCTCACACGTGACTCTATGGGTTATTTATTGCCCCCCTCACATGTGCCATCTGTTAAAGGAGAAATTCTAGCTAGGTGCTCTCCAGGGTTCCTTCTTGCTTTGACACCCCATGGTTCATTCATTCCCTGACCCCCATGTGGACATTACCCAGACCATAGTGATTGACCCAGGGGGTCAGAGCTAAACTAAGCTGGACCAATTCAGTTCCTTTTCTGTGCATCGCAGAGCCAGGGGTCTGACCTCTAGCACCTGCAGCCATGTTCCGCCACAGGACTGAGAAGCAAAAGGAGCCCGGCTCTAGCAGGAGAGAAGAATGAAGCAAATGTACAGTGAGGAGAGAAAAGCAGAGGAAGGGCTTCTGATTCTGGGGAGTTCCTGACACCCGTTTCTGATCTCCTATTCCACAAGAAGCCCCAGTATCTTTTGAATAAATTCTTTGTCTAAGCTTAAGCTACCTGCAGGGGGTTCCTGATGCTTGTCACTCAATGAGTTCCAATCAATACAGAGAGGAGGCTGTGAACATGTCTCCTGTCAAGGAGGCTGAGTTCCGCTTCATTGGCTCATCTGTCCTTTAAGTTTTGATGGGCTCTCACAATTGTGGAACATCAGAGCATGTAATTTACCCCCCATGATAAGGAGGAGGAGTATCGATTTCACAGAGCAGGGTGACAGACCTGAAGTGCACCATGAGCCATGGAGCAAAGCTGGCCCAGGAGGGCAGGCCTGGCTCCCATCCATCTAGAACATCCCACATTCAAGAATGTGTGTGGAATACCATGTATCACATTGCCTCCTTTCGGAGACCGATGCATGTGTTATCAGTTTACAAAGGCCTGAGAAATCCTTCCACAATAAAACTTATGTAACTTTTTAAAACCCACCTTTTCCAAACATGTCCGATGCTATCATTCAATTTGCTCCTGTGCTCTTTGGATGGTATGACTGTAGAGTACATTTTGGGAGCTAACTGTGCAATCTTCTCTCACTCAGAGAGGTGGGATGCTTCTATAGTTAGTTCATGCCAAATCCTGAGGCTGGCTCTTTAAACACAGGTATTATGAGTTGAATTGTGTAACCCTCAATCTTCATAAGTTGAAGGCCCTGGTAACCTCGAGTACCTCAGGATGTGACCTTACTTGGGAATAGGGTCACTGTAGAGGTATTTAGCTAAGGTAAGATGAGGTTACTGGAATGGCCTCTTCAAATTAAGCATGATTGGTATATTTATAAGAAGGAGGACTCCATTTGTATACTATGAACTGAAATGCATTCTGCTGTCCTGTGTAACAAATGAGAACAAATAAATATATAAATTTTAAAAAAATTTAAAAAGAAGGAATTTGGACACAGAGACTCAGAAAATGTCACACGAAGATGAAGGTAAAGATTAGGGGTGATGCTTCTCATACCCAGTGGCACTAGAGACTGTGAGCAAACCATCTAAAGCCAAGGAGAGGCATGAAGTATCCTTCATATCTTTCATAAGGAATCAATCTTTTTGACACCTTGATCTTCAGCTTCTAGCTTTCGGAACCATGAGTCAATAAGTTTCTGTTGTTTACACCACCCCGTCTGTGGGACTTTACAACAGTCCCTAAGCCAACCCAGCCAGTCTTTACATCCATCTTCCCCATTAGCTAAAGGACGAAAGCTAAGCTCACCTGCATCCTGGTTATATAGACAGGCTTGTTCATTATTATCCAACTTGCTGTCTCATAGCAGGGAGGGATGGTCATCGACCCATCATAAGTAATGAAACTGGAGGTCTCTGGATATAGTTCCTCTATATTAAGTCCCTGTAGTAAGTATGCATCATCTAGAAAAGAAGGTAACAAAGACTTAAATGTTAAGTTTCTTAAGAAAGTACTGGTATTGTTTATATATATTTCTTTTTGGATTCCAGACAACTGGTATCTGTCAGGATAGGCTGCAGTAACAAACAGTCCCATCACCTCCTTTCCCTATTTCAATCACTTTAATCAACAAAGTTTTGTGTGTGGCTCTCAAACATGTCCATGCAAGTTTGGCTAAGGGCTTCCCTCCAGGTCTTTATTGTACACGTTTTGGGACCCAGTCTCTTGGAGAAGACACTGTCTGGCTGCATTGTGATTTGTGGATCATAATGACAGAAGGAAAAGCAAGCATGGTGAAATATTTGTTGGCTCTGAAGGCTTCCGTCCCAAAGTGACACATTGACTTCTGCTCTCATTTTGGTAGCCAGAGAGTTCCATGACCAAGGCTGAAATCAGGGCTGCAAGGAAGCACATTCTTCCCATGGGATGGGACACTGAATGCTGGTGAGCTGAAAGCAATGTGGTCCACCACAGGACCATGGCAGAGTCAAGTCCTTCATGAGGGTCCCTGAGACCTGGGCCGTAGGCACGGTAGGCACAATGGAATGGACACAGACCTGTTGAAAAGTTGCCTGGTTACGATTATTATTTATGAACATCATTAATTAAAAGAGCATTCAGCTGGGTGCGGTGGTGCACGTCTGTAATCCCAGCAACTTGTGAGGCAAAGGCAGGAGGAGCACAAGTTCCAAGCTGGTCTCTGCAACTTAGTGAGATCCTATCTCAAAATTTTAAAAATAAAAATAAAAAAAGCTGGGGATGTGTCTCAGTGGTTAAGTGCCCCTAGTTTCAATCCCCAGGACCAACAAACAAACAAACAAACAAAACAAACAAAAATCGTTAAGAATATATTCTAGAAAGAAAAATAACTAGGTTAAATCCTAGCACAAGATTCATTGGTCAAGTTCAACAATTGACTTCATTTTTGACATGTCTCCTCCTGGTAGTCCCATGTGGGTAACCTTTTCTTATACACCTATTTAAGCAGTTCATATTTGCATATCTTTTGCTATTACATATAGTTTTTAATTGTTAAACATGGAGGAAAGAGAGAAAGAAGATACAATTCCAATCATCAACAACAATTACCACTAGCACCTTGCTAAATTTCTTTTTAATTTTTTTAAATCTCAGTGTATAGGTTAATTTTTTAGAAAACTGGAATGCACTGGGGTTTTGAAATCTGCATTGACTCTCTCCATCTCTTCCCTCCTCCCTTCTATGTTGCTTTCTGGGGCTCTCTTCTCCTGGCTTCCAAACCACAGTGCTTAGGGTTCTTATTTCTGACCATTATTTCTCAGTCCATTGCTGACTCTTATCTTCACCTGTTTCCCACACCCTGAGGACCTGCCCAAGCCTCTCTTCTTTCTCAATCTATGCTCTCATCCTGGGTAGCCCAACTATCCAGGCTCCAATTGTCCTCTGCACCCCAGTGCTTCCACATCTATGTCCCCAGAAGTGTGGCACCCTCCAGTGTGCCATGAACGCCAACTGTTGGGGTCAGTCCAGGTGGCTTGCAGAACATGTGGCAGGAGCCCAAAGCCTGACTGGCAGAGAGATGAGACTGGCTTCTGCAGTACCCCTGGTTTCACACGTGTTGTGTTCTCTCATCCTGGTGAGAAAGGACTTAGTCTTTAGTGATCAATATAATTTCTCAAACTCAGTTTTGTGCATATATTACAGTAAAGGACTTGCACATGTAGTTGGAACTTTAAACGGAGCCAGTGAGGTGGGTCAGGGAGAGAGTAACATTCTCATTGACAAGAAAATAAAGATGAAAGAGGCAAAGTAAATATCCCAAAGCCACAGAGTAAGCTGGTGACTGCAAAGGAACTGGAACTCAGCTCTCCTGGTCTCCACACTGAGGTTGGTTACTCACTCAACAAACATTCACTAAGAACCTCTTGGGTTTGGCTCTGGGGATAGAACTATGAACAAGACAGGTGTTTTGTCTGTCTCTTCTAATTGAAGAGCGAGACAGCAAATGACAAAACATAAGTAGACTATGATGTCAGGGTGCTAAGTGCACTTACCTAAGGATCCTGGCATTAATGCTACTGATCTATTTTCTTGGGTAAAGACTACCTCTCCCTATGTCTTCCTCCAGAAATTGTTCATTTAACTCTCTCTGATAAGAAAGAGGCATCTTTGCTAAGGGAACTTGAATTCCAGGTTTTTGTATTTGCTTGTTAATTAAATTATGAACAAATCTGTTGAGTCAGTAGTTTGAAATGATATTAAAAATAAAAAAGTCATTTTCTTTCTCCAATCCCAACTGCTCCTACTGGTCTCCAACTTTATCCATACAAATCCCCTGAGGAAGAGAGTTTGGTCAACCTGAGTAGCCCTAAGAGGAAGGACTTCCTTCCACGGGCTGCTGAAATAGAAACACTCTCCATCCAAACACAAAGCATCCAGGTAGTGATTGGAACATGAGGGGTCTGGGTCTGCACCGTGGCATGTGTGGTCAGGTGCTCCGATCACAAAGCCACGGTGTGCAGAGCACACAGATGTGACGGTCCTCAGGTGCTGGATAAGCTTATGCAGGGAACTTGACATTGGTGACTGTTTCTTAGCCCCTACTGTGTGTCAGGTTCTCAGCTCCGTGTAGGTGAGAAGGACATAATTAAGCGAATGTAGCTGGGAGTCACAGGGACAGTGATGTGCATCTGCACTGGCCCAGAGACAGCCTATCAGTTCTGCTTGGGGAGCTCAGGAAAGGATGGACTGAGGAGCTGACCCGAACGGCATCTTGAATGACAAGAGATAATCAGTGTGTGGCTGGCAGCGGGTGGCTGTCAAGGGCACTGTAGACAGACTCCTGCTAGAGAAAGAGCTCAGGAAGTTGAGTGTGGCATGTACCTGGGGACAGCTAGAGTGTGAGTGAGACGCAGGGGGAGGGATACTGTGGGAAATGAGCCTGGAGGGGTTCAGCACCAGCCACACAGGGAAGGCCCTTGTGTGTGCTGTTGGGAGTTCCGGCCTCATGCTGGAGGCCATTCAGAACCACTGAAGGGTTTGAAGCCGGGGATGGCATGATCAGATTTGCACTTAATGAGGCTTGCTCCGACGGTGGTTTGGCCTGAAGATTAACATATTGGATGAGAGAAAGAAGCATCTGGCACCTTCTTATTAAAGGTCAATGTGATTTGTTTAACCAAGCTTGCACAAGAAACATATTGGGTACTCTAGCGTGCTGCTATTATTGTGTTTTATTTTATTCAGGGGAGTGGGGAGGAGAGAATGCAGCAAGCACCATGAGGGGCATTTCAGGCATGACCAGAGTAAAGAAAGAGGAGCTCTATGCTGAAATGGTAATCGGCCCTTGGGTGGTAGCACACTTGAAGAGAGGGCTGGAGGTGAGCACAGACCAGGAGCAAAGGGCAAAGGGTGATGTTGATGGATTTACCCCAGGATTGTTGATGGGGGGACAACTGTTTCCAGAACATCACAGTGGATGCAGTGGCCACAGAAGGCCTGGGCAGATCTTTATTCCTCACTGTATTCTTTGGTTGATTCTTGTTAATGTTCCTGCTTCATCTTTTGCCCTTTTTTATTTCCCAGGCTCTAGAACTTGGACAGACCCAGCGTGAAGAGTCTGAGCTTTGGACTCCTGCCCGAATTTGGATGCTGACTTTGTTGCTCATCGTCTGCGTGAACTTGGACCCACCGATAACAGACTGATCCTCTGCTTCCACATCTGTAATATACAGATGGTTGGAGTCCTTGGCTCACGGGGTTGTTTGAGGAATGCATGCAATCATGCTTTGCAAGTGTTATCCAGCACAAGGCCCAGCCTAGGTTAAGTAGCAATTCTGGGTAGCAGTGTCCTTGCCTTGCTTCTGGGGATGACCACTGCTTTCTTCCCCAAGACTCCCTGTTTTTTTCCCCACTGAGTTGGTGCCCTCTTTTTTTTTTTAAAAAAAATGTATTTATTGAATTATTTTGCCAATGATTATTTACCTATTTGACTGTCCCCATAAACTGGGAGCCTTTCAGAGAATTATTTGCATCTTTTATCTCTGAATCCTAATTGTCAGCATGAAGTCCTCTACATAGCAGGTGCTCAGTAAATGTAGATTAAATGAATCTATGAAATGGTTTCTCCCTGGAAGCCCTGCTAGTGGTGTTGCTGGGCAGAACCAAGACAGGAAAAGGCAACATCTGGTCAGATGATGGAAGGCGTCTCTGAGGCTTCAGCCTGTACACATGCTACTTACCACCACCCCCTTGCATGTCACACCCCAGGACATTGGGATGAGACTGATGGCTTTGTCTCCATCTCCATGTGGTGTTCTCATGTGTCTACTCCAAGTAAGCCTGTACCCTCAACTACCTTGCTGAAGTTGGTCTGCATTTAGCATGTAACATTTGTCCTTCTGACTCACCACTCTGCTTCAAAGGCTGCTATTAAATCAATGTTCTCTCTTTTAGGTAGTAGGATTTGAGAGCGGCAGGCTACCTTTTTGCATCTTCTTTCTCCCTCACGGAAGCTTGCTTTTATTTGGTAGGACACAGACGCTGGGATACAAGAAAGGAATATGGCCAAACCAGAAGTTTTCAATCCTAGTGTCCAGGCACACTGGGTGTCTCCCCTGGCCAACCAGGCCTGGAACTGAGTATCACCCACAAGCTAGCTTGTCCACGCAGCAGCCAGCAGACCCCCAGCCTTTTGTGTACCTCAGTGTTATGGTCTGGTTGTTGTAGGCAGAACGGAAGCCTGAGAATTAATTCATTGGATGTTGAATCCTCCTCTCCAAATTCTCCAGGCTCTAGTCATTAGAGTAAGGATGGCAAAAAAATCTAGAAAAGGTCAGGACTGTTTGTGCACAGAGATACACAGATATGGCACGGAGCACAAAAGAGGCCAAATGGGGTAATGACACATGTCTCTGCTAGCTTTAAGGACATTTATGGAGAGAAAGTCATGGCAGAAGTTCAAATAGTTTTTCATGGACCATCT